CACAATCAGGTAAGATAAATCTCACTGCATAAAAATGTTTATTTACAATAAGATTCAATTTGTTAATAGTTAATGCATTAAGTATCATAAACTAACAATGAACAAAAATTTTTATTACAACATGTATTAATTTAGATTAATGTTAATTTATAAATACACATTGTTCATTTATGGTCGCAATACATTAATGTTTTTTTTTACAACTTGAAATGTTAAAAATGTATGTAACGTGTAGAATACAGAAATTAACCATTAATAGATGTTGTAATAGTATTGTTTTACTATTGCATGACACTAAATGCATTAACTAATGTCATGTAAAAGAAATTTTTTTATCATGAATGAGTTGGGCACATCTTGGAGAAAAAGAATGTATTATCCATTTTTAGATATTTCCATGCAAAAACATGTCCTCAAAAAACATCTTTTTTAAATTCCCAATGATTCTTTGGTCGTCCACAATAGTCTGTGAAAACACTGCACACTGGGATTTGCCCAAACAAATTGTCTGAAATCTGACTAAACCAAACCCTTCAGTTGTGATCGCATTGTAAAAATATAATCTTTTAAATGAAACTGAATGTACATCTGGTATAGGCTCCATGGATATATACGTGATGAAACAATAATAACATGAGCTGAATAAGACCAAAATAGAAACTCTATACAGTACACGTCTTGCAGCCAATTTGGAAAAAATACAGAACAGTACACATCCACACATAAATTCAATGTCTCTAAGAATTAGCAAATCCCAACATGGCACTTGTGCAAGCCGTCAGCTATCAATAGGCTGCTTTAATGTGTGAAAAAGCAATTTAAAAAGCTATCCAATGGTTGTGTTCTGTCAATGGAGTCACTTTCACCCCACAAAAAAATAAAACGATTAATGCCCGCAGGCTAACGGATGTTGCTGGCAACACACACGGTCTTAATTGCTTTTTGCAAGGTTAAGCGACCTACTGCTCCATAGCTCAGAAAAAGGAGACATAATTCAAGTATGGAACATGACATGTCCTTATTCCAGCAAGGAGAATCTGGAACTTCACTGGACCAAATTACAGTCATACTCACATTTAGAAAAAAAACCTGAATATACTTGAATTAGATATTTTTTTTAAAGTATAGTATAGTCAAGTAGTATAATGTAATGTAATATACATTTCTATATTTAAATTCATACAATTATACATTCTGAATGGAATTTAAAAAGATATATCACTGTGTTGCTTTCACATATATGCATAATGCATATATGGAATTTGCATATTCCACATGATTAAATTTTATTATTCCTGCTAAATTGCTAAAACATTCATGGTAAAACTAAAAGATATATAAATAAAAAAATTACACAATGAACACAATGCAGTGCAGTAGTAACAGTGCCAACTATGGTATAAGTGATACCAGAATGTTTTGAGCGGGATATGTAACTGCTATCACTTCCACTCCACTCCATACTCTGGCCTCACACAACCATACAAAGTTGAAGCATCACCAAAACTGCTGTGATTTGTCTGGGTGGTCTACTTGAAACCTTAGTGCTAAACAGGCAAAATCGTTTCAGTCAGAATGCAAACGAGCCAATATCCCCTCTGGATGAAGACATCAAAGTTCTCTCCATTACTGAAGATTCGTAGCCAAGCAAAAAGTAAAATCATCGTGTTCTACACCAAGAACCAGACTGATAGACATCAGGACTTGTTTATATCAGACGTAACCCATCAGGACTCCATCAACACCCAGCTATCAAATAACACCAAACAGTTTATATAACTAGATGCATCTCAAACTGCTTCATTTACTAGAAAGCAAACGTCAAGATATTGCGATCAGTTGTGAGTAACTCTAAGTGAAAAACACATTCTGTTTTGTTTTGGGTTTTTTTATGAGCACTTACGTTAACCAGAGATCATTTAGATTAAGGAAAAATACTAGATTTAATCATGCCCATTTAAAGTGAGAACTAAATAACGTGCTTTGCTGACCACACCAATTTTATTTTAATTGAGTTTGTTGTGTGTTGCGGCTCAACAACATGAAACCACTCGGCCGACGCTATGAAACCCTGTGAAAGTCAAAAACTGTGTGGAATGCTGGTAGGGCTGCACAATTAATCGAATTTCTAATCGCAAATACAACTATGGATGCCACAATTACATAATCGCTCAAAGCGGCAATTAATCGTTCAAAGTCCACTTATGATATTCTGTGTGCTCAAGATGTTTTTTTCTTTCTTTCTACATGTTATCTTAAGGGGTTTTCCATTGTTTTAATTTTAGTTTTAGTATAACACAATAATACCATTCATATTTTTACTTTTTTTATAATTTAAAGAAGAAACCAATCCGATGTATAGTTGACATGTATAGTTGACATTTGAGGCTTAATACTATAGAAAAGCACTAAAAGTTTTTTTTCCGTTAGAGTGTTTCAGCTTGTTTATTTTCATATAAAAATACGCCATGCAGTTGTATCAAACAATGGTTTAAACATCATTCAATGTAAATTGTGATAATCGTAATTAATAAATCGCAATTACAATTTCAAGGGAATAATTGACCATTATGATTTTTGTCATAATCGTGCAGCCCTAAATGCTGGTACGCTAAAGCCTAAAACATCAAAACAGTTTACTAGACATTTAAATGACCGTGACCTTTTGCCCCACCCAGAGTTCAAAGCTCCGTACAGTAGAAACTTTCCCTTCTATTTACATTAGAGAGTGAGCGTTTCTGCCAGATCTTAGGTCATTAGAAAGCAAAACAAGAGCAGGGAAAACTAGAAAAAGAGATAAGAGGAAGCCTAAGTCTTTCTTTCTGAAAAGTAGCGAATGAGATGAAATCATCACAGATGGAGGTCCTCACCTCGATAAATGATAGGCAGCAGGAAAGGGGGAGAAAATAAAACAGGTTTGTGTATCTGCCGCCCCATTGCTGATATCGTAGGGTCAAGAGATAAAGCCACCCAGGACATACAAGATTTTTTTTTAGACTGGAGAGAGTGAGAAAGAAATGAAGAGCTTTGTCTCGAGTGAAACAGGAGAGACAGATTAAAAAATTGGAGAAAAGTCGCCTTAGATTGAAGTCTCCAAAAGATAAAAGCCAAGGAACTCTTGCTACCTGGATCATCATTCAAACCATAGAATGAGCTTTGCTCATGTCAGACTGCTTTTGCTTTGGTTTTGCAATTATTGCCAAAGGATTACACTTGGCTTTGTTCAAAACAGGCAGAGAAATTCAGAATTTTTGGTGCATCCTACCCAAATTAGTTTCATTTTTTGTAAAAATAAAAAATATATATAATATAAAATATAAATAACTGATTAAAAATCATATTTCAAGGTTTTTAAAAATATATATATATTATTTGCACAATGTATACTAGAGCAGTGTTCAAATACTCTTTTAGATAGAGATGCATGATATATCAGCAAATGGATATTTTATTTATCATTTCACTTCATATTAGATATGTTTATTTGTTTAGCAGGGCGCATTTTAACCTATCTTTACTTTTAAAAAAAAAAAAATTGTAAAAAGCATTGTGTTGACACTCACATTATTAACATTGGAACTGGCCTAGAGATTGGGTGTGAAAACCAAATTGGATTTGAGTACAGTGTGAACAAAGCCTAAAATCTTCCCGTCAGTCCGTCCCAAACTAGTGTGCCTGCTTCATGCTGTTTTCAGAGTTTAACATGTGCTTTCTTATGTTGCCAACCTTGGATTAGCATTTTTGTTATCTTCTTTGACACTACACCAAATGTCTTATAGTTACGGGTTAATTGGTTTTCTAGCACTGGCATCTGGGGATGGCAATTAGGGGAGACAATGCTCTTGATATGAGCTTTGATTAAACTCCCTTCAGTGCTGAACACGACTAAGCTCTTTAAATCAGGGATGTGAGTTTTGTTTGCAGGCTGACATGTTTGGGGAAAAAACACCTCCAGATGCAATGCTAACAGGCATATTTCCTTTCACAGATCTTTTTCAGGTACAAAAATATTCCCACAGAGTGAAACATCAGCCTTCGTTCACCTGCCGCTGCTGATGAACATCCTCTAATAGTCTCCCTTACACACATATGTGCACACACACACCAATATCAAAAGCCAATTATGGCAAAATAATGAAGAAACCAAATTGCCCTCGAGACGTTTCGCATCGTGACAAATCAATAAAAGGACCATGATGACATACAACGAGGTGCCAATAAAGAAACATTTGACTCCCAGTTGTGGGGGTCACAGCGATTCACTGACAAGTGCTGTGGTAAGTAGTTTTGTCACAGACGTGTGACCTCTGGCCTTAATAAGCCCGTTTTTTTTTTTTGCCACTTCTCCAATCAGGGAAATCGGTCACAGTGGCTGATAAGGGTCTATTCTAGAGCTATGATGAAGAAAGACGGGGGTTTGGGGGCTTTTAGCACACATCAGATAACATAAGAGCCGTACTAAGGAGAGTGTGATGTGAGACGGATAGTGTATCACGAGTGGTAATCGCTTCCTCACGAGGGACCTAATCAAGCGCGGTCTGCTCCCGAGATGTGGCAGGGGAGAAGGACCCTCCCTGACACCGTGGCACAGATGGATAAACAATGGATCGTGCGAAAAGGGGCACACGACTGACCTACATTCATTATCTGGGGACTAAACGGATTCCTCCGTAAAAGTGAGGTGGATCAAAATTCCAGTTGTAATTGGGTTGATTCCTGACCCCAAACCCTGACACTTCTTTACTCCTTCTGTCATGTCTTGTGTTTTGTGTGTAATTACTTCAATCATGTCAAAATGTGTGCAGAAATGTTTCCAAATGAGGGCCTGGGTACTGTTGCTCCATTAACCGACCACATGGGCAACCACAGACATGGTTGGACACCTCAGATTTCATATGCCAGTGGACGGCGATGTGTTTTCCACTGTCGAATTCATGGAGAAACCACCTAACATCTCAAAACGATGTTACAATGAAAATGTAGTAAGATAAGACACTTACCTCCTCCACCGCCGAGCAGAGAAGAGTTTGCTGTAGAGGAAACAAAAGAGAGAAAAACAACATGAGTGTCTGAATTAGGGAATATGTTCAAAAGAAGCACTTTAGTTCAATGCGGAGCATACTATCATTCAGATGAGAGCCAACAAAGATGTGGAACCTGAAGGTCAAGAACACTCCAAAGCCAGACATTTGCACTGAATAGAGGTTTGAGGTACCAGTGAGCTGGCAGCTGTACTGTGCTGAGCACCAGAGCAGGACAAGCTGAATCAGAGAGTATGGGACCAGAACAGATCTCTCATCTCATCTCTCTCTCTCTGTATATGTGTACAGTTATATAGCAGTCAAGGGAGGAAAGGGCAGAAAGCACTCAGTGCCGAACCACACTTGATCAAAGTCCCTCTTCTCCACATCAGTGAGGTCCGTTCACCAGGCACAGCAATACAGTCCTGCATCTCTGACACTAACAACTGCTCAAGGAGGAATTCTCAATCTTCTGAATGTCCTGGTATATGATGATCAAGAGATCTTCAATCGTAACTCCCAAGGCAAGCTCGAGCCAGTTTTGATAAATCTTGAGGGAAACGAGTCATTGTTCTCATCAACAAAAATGACTGGTGAACATGTTCGTTAACGAAGGGTTTCTGTCATGAAATCTATGCATCGCAATGATAATTAATTTTAATTGTTCTTTTGACAAAATAACTTTTTTTTTGTTCAGTGGCAAAAAATATGATGAAAATTCCACAAGATATTGCATTAAGTCAAAGAATATGACTAGGCCTATTTCTAATAAATCAGTCAAAATGGTGCAAACGCAAGTGACGTTGTCAAGCTGTAAATAAGTTTTTACTATAGTGCACTTCAACTTGTACAAAACTAGGGTTGCAAAAAGGTGGAACATTTCCAATAAATTTGGGAAATATTCCGGTTCAGTTTACACACACACTGGACTTTCTACTTCACAAGACAGCTTAACTAAGTCTGCCAGTCAGCTCAAAATTTTAGGGTGAAGTCATTAGTACAGTAAGAAATGGGCTATAGACCACCACACACACACACTGTTCTTCTCAACAGAAAGTTATACCAAGAGATCTGTTCTGCTTTTTGTGCAAATCAACATATGACAGTTTCATTTGTGTTGAGGACAATTAGCAGATGTAACACTGGGGCACGGAATCACGAATGATGATGGAGGCATCATGGGACCTGTTGAGAATGGAGGCACGACAGATCTCCGATGGTTATGTGGAACGTCCCTTTTGCTTCATTTTAATCACTAATTTTTTTTTTTATGTGTCAGAGGCGTTCCGGGTGGCCCCGCTGTGCCAGGTAAAGTAACATTTCTCTGTACTTCTCATCAAAAGCACAGGAAGAGAAAACTAGGCTACATAATTCATCAAGCAGCACAATTTTCATGCCACTCCCTCTGAAGGACACGAAAAAGCGCTTTTATGAAGGAGAGCAGCTTTTACTTTTCCTCTAAAGGCCAGAGCAATATGGATTTCTCTGAAAATTACATAAAAAGTGTATTCAATATAATCCTGTAAAACTGCATGCAAACTGAAATGTGAAGCTGTATCTAAATTAGATTAGTCTTAATGTCCATCATGCTGTTTTCAGGTGTAACACCGTTTTATATAAAACTGGCGTGGGATATTGAAGAGTTCATTTAATTAACCAATTAATTAATTAAAAACAAACAATTAAATAATGTACAACCCTGTAAAGTAATAGCTAATCAATAAAAAAAAATCATATTATATTATAAAATAAAATAAATAATGTATTTAAAAACTGTCCACACTTTTCTGTATAAAGAAAAGATCACAAATAAATAAATATTTTTATTTAATGAGCTATCAGCCTAAAAGCCACAAAATGCCAATTTGAATTTTATAGCATCTTTAACTACTTTCAGAACTATTATTAAAACTGTAAAATAAAGCCAACTTGTGTTACATTACCAAGAACATGAACCCAAAAAATAAGCCCTATATTCGTGCCTGCACGTCATCTCTTTACCACCACCTCCACGCAGTCTCCTTATCACAATGGCTTAATTCATTCTCACCTTTCATTTTCAGTGAACCCCCTTTCCGATCCTTAAATTTGATGTGCAGAAGAGAAAGCAATAACAAACAATAATGGTGAAAAATAATGATGCTTCCGCTGGTGAATGCAAAGATGGACTAATGCATTCTGCAAGGTGTTATGATTCATCATCTGAGACAAAAAAAATGAAATAGGATAAAGTAATGGGGACAAAAAAAACAGACAGTCTCTTTCAGTTAGTCTGGCCTAAATGACTTCTATCCTTATAGTCTGAAACAACATTATACTTGATTCAAAAAGAGGTAATGCAGAAGACTTATATAAGAGGTAGAAAATGGGTCAAAACTGCGAGAGAACGGACTCATCAAAAAATTATTTGTTCAGTATCGTGCAAGCCTGTGTATGAGAAAAGATCTACTGCTAATATATTTTTAAGGCAGATTGTGGGGGGAAAAATTGCCTCATGCTTTATACACACACACACACACACACACACACACACACATACACACTCCTAAACATACATATATATATATATATATATATACACATACACATACATACACTGAACAAAATTATAAACCCAACACTTTTGTTTTTGCCCCCATTTTTCATGAGCTGAACTCAAAGATCTAAGACTTTTTCTATGAACACAAAAGGCCTATTTCTCTCAAATATTTTTCACAAATCTGTCTAAATCGGTGTTAGTGAGCACTTCTCCTTTGCCAAGATAATCCATCCACCTCACAGGTGTGGCATATCAAAATGCTGATTAGACAGCATGATTATTGCACAGGTGTGCCTTAGGCTGGCCACAATAAAAGGCCACTCTAAAATGTGCAGTTTTATCACATAGCACAATGCCACAGATGTTGCAAGTTTTGAGGGAGCATGCAATTGGCATGCTGACTGCAGGAATGTCCACCAGAGCTGTTGCCCGTGAATTGAATGTTCATTTCTCTACCATAAGCAGTCTCCAAAGGCGTTTCAGAGAATTTGGCAGTACATCCAACCGGCCTCACAACCACAGACCACGTGTAACCACACCAGCCCAGGACCTCCATATCCAGCATCTTCACCTCCAAGATCGTCTGAGAAAGCTGCTGCAACAATCGGTTTGCATAACCAAAGAATTTCTGCACAAACTGTCAGAAACCATCTCAGGGAAGCTCATCTGCATGCTCGTCGTCCTCATCGGGGTCTCGACCTGACTGCAGTTCGTCGTCGTAACCGACTTGAGTGGGCAAATGCTCACATTCGATGGCGTCTGGCACTTTGGAGAGGTGTTCTCTTCACGGATGAATCCCGGTTTTCACTGTACAGGGCAGATGGCAGACAGCGTGTATGGCGTTGTGTGGGTGTGGGTGAGCATTTATTTATTTTTTATTCTGGTTGCATTTAGTCTGTTGTTGTTTACAGAGAACATCTTTTCTTCCATAATACAGTACGGGATTTACTGTATAGATTTTTTTTTTTTTCTAATCATTAATTAAGCTGGCAGTATCATGCAGATGATTTCTATTTAAATAAATACTTCACCTGATTTTGACAACTTATTATTTAAATAAACTGAAAAAAAACAAAAAAAATTTTCATCTGATTTACCATATTAATCATAACAAAATAATAATATAAAATCTGACTTTTTTATTGTCAAAATGAGCAAGAGCCTTGACTTGGCAGACTAATATTCTACACAGTTGTTAGAATATTAAAAGAATAGATCACCCAAAAAGGTAATTATGTTATCATTTAACCACACTTGTGTTGTTCCAAACACATACAAATTTATTTTATTTTTTTAAGTGGAAAAGGATAAATTAAGCTTTTTGCCTAAGCTGCTCTAATACATGCATTGAAAGTACATGGGGACCAGCTGTTGTCATCATTCACTTTCATATGAAAAACATCAGCTTTTCATTTTTGAGTGAACAATTTCTTTAATAAGCAAGTATCATATGTAGGATACTGGCATCTCAAACTTTATGCAACATAATCGCTGCTGCCCAGTTCAAAACATCCAAAATAGCAGGTCCAACATGGAGGACATTAAGCTCATGATGAAAGCCAAAAAGAAGAGTAAAGGGGTTTGCTTTGTACCCTGTCTGGGATTAATAATAATTTGGGGTCATTTAAAATAAAAAAGAAGGAACTAAATGAAACTGGTAATCACTTCAAACATTGTTCTATGTTTCTGCCACTTGAAGTTAAAACTAAGGCTGGTCTTTACACCTCAAAGGAAAGAAGCATCACGCTTGGGTTAAAATCGCACGCCGACGGCGCCCACTGTTACTCGCTGAGCCATAAAGAGGAGATAAACAAGGTTATTACCTAAACCTGCATGCTATCATTAGTGCCCAGGGCCACACACAAATAAAGGCGATATCAGAGCATCATGGGCACTGAACGCTTACAGCAGCATTCACCTGAATGCAAAAACCATCAAAGAAAAAATAGCGGAAGTTTATTTTTGCATCTATTAATGGTGCGCTATTCAAAAACCTCGCCGAACTTACAAAGCACATGTGCATCTCATATGGTTATATCTTTAGAAACTTAATGAGCACAAAATAAGACAACATGCAACTTTTTAAAACACAAACTACCAAGATAATCATAACCATATTAAGCAGAGTCTGGAAACACAAAACAAGTGAAAACAAACAAGATGATGTTTTATTAAATAATTGTAAAAAAGTTTGTGAAGCAAGACAACAAAAAGGTGTTAACCAAAACCAGCTCCTGCATCTGGAAACAAAAGATCTGATAACTTTCTTTAGATCTTCACAGATGTTTTGACTGGACCAAATGACATTTCATCAAAGACTTTTTTCAAAAGGGACCTTTTAAAGGCCACTGTGGCATGTTTATGAAGTAGGCTAGTATGTTGGGTTAAAAATAAATCACAAGCACAAAATCACTCTGATAATGCAAACTTTAGTTCACTGAAGCCATCTTGTTTGGAGTTCAGAAAGCTG